TGTCACCTCCCCATGGGATATGAGCAAAAGCAACCCCTCCCGGGCACCTCAGAGTGGTTTGAGACCCCGACCTTTGAACGGGTTTGTCTCAGCCCCCACCAAAGCAGGCCCTGCCCCCCCCAACCCTGCTGCCCGCCTGCCCCTGGCAGTGGCTTTGGATCAAGCAGCTCGATAGCCGCAGCTGGCCTTGGTTGCCCAGACATGGCACACTCACGGCATGGGGCTGATGCCTCTCATCCTCTGCCAAGAGGCACGAGGAACTTCCCTGCAAACTGTGCCTCAGTTTCCCCCTCTGCAGTTGTGCTCTGGGCAATTCTGGGGTTGCCAAAGACCAGGCTGATCTCCAAAGGGCTCCTGGCCCCTCCAAGGCCCCAGGAAGGGGGCTCAGAGCAGCTAAATTCATCTTGGGTGGAGATGCCCACTCTGCTCCTGGGGAGACCCCTGAAGACCCTCAGGGTGCCCAGTGCCCCTGCACACCCCCGGCTCTGCTCTCACCTCCAGATGCCGAGAAGACCCTGGATTACTGGAATAAAGGCGCCAGGAGGAGGCTGGAGTCGTCCCTGGCCTTGCAGCCAGTGGCACGGCGGGCCAAAAACATCATCCTCTTCATGGGTGACGGTGAGTCCCCAAGGTCCCAGCCAGGCCTCATGGCTCCACGGCTCAGCAGCAGCCAGAGGACGTGGCTGGAGAGAGAATGGGGCTGGTGCTGGTCTCCTCCTCCCTGGCTGGCCCCAGGCACTGTCTGGGGAGGGCAGGACTGTCCCCAGTCCCAGCCCCTTGCTACCCCAAGCTCTGCCACGCTGACAGGCATGGGGCTGTCCACGATGTCGGCGGCTCGGATCTACAAGGGACAGCTGGCTGGCGGCTCAGGCGAGGAGAGCGTCTTGGCCATGGAGATGTTTCCCCACGTGGCCCTGGCCAAGGTGAGTGGAGCAGTGCTGAGGGGCAGCCACCCTACCCCTGCCCAAAACCTCACTGGCCCCCGCTTGCTTCCAGACCTACACCATCGACCGGCAGGGGGCCCACAGCACCTACCTCTGCGGGGGGAAGGCCAATGCTAAGACGCTGGGGCTGAGTGGGGCGGCCGTCTATGGCAAATGCCGCACCACCTTTGGCAACGAGGTGGACTCCATCCTGCACCGGGCCAGGCTGGCAGGTATGGGGCAGCGGGCAACCTTGTCGGAGAGCCTGGCATGGTGTGGCCATCCCATGCCATGCAGGGCTGGACGGGCTCCCTGTAAACCCTTGCCTGCCATGCAGGCAAGTCAGTGGGCATCGTGACGACCACGCGGGTGCAGCATGCGTCCCCCGGGGCGGCCTATGCCCACTCGGCCAGCCGGAGCTGGTATGCCGACGCCAACATGCCCAAGGAGGCATTGCGGGATGGCTGCAAGGACATCGCCTACCAGCTGGTGCACAACACGGACATCAACGTGAGCCGGGAAGCGGGAGTGGGAGGGAAGGGACACCAGGGACGTTAGGAGGGTCTGCTGAGCTCCCCAGCAGGTGATCCTGGGCGGTGGGCGGATGTACATGACCCCCAAGCGGACCCCAGATCCCGAGTACCCGGAGGACCCAGCTCAGAACGGTACCAGGAAGGACGGCCTTGACTTGATTGCTGAATGGCTAAATGCCAAGCAGGTGCTGCGCCAGGATGGAGGGGACGTGATGTTGGGCATGGGGCACGTGCCGTTGGCACCAACTCTGTTCTCTCTGGCAGGGTGCCCGCTACGTCTGGGACAAGAAGGGCCTGGATGCAGTTGAGGATGACTCCGTGAGCCACCTGATGGGTAAGAGCACCACTGACTGTGCCACTGGCAACACCTCCTCCTCCCTGCTCCAGGGGTGTTGGTGGGGGGCATGAAGTGGCCCTGGTGTGGACCCCCCAGCCCCACTCCCCCAGGCCTCTTCGAGCCCAAGGATATGAAGTATACCACGGCCCCCGCCATCGTGGAGATGACGGAAAAGGCCATTCGCATCCTGCGCAGGAACCCCAACGGCTTCTTTCTCTTTGTTGAAGATGAGTAGCCCCAGGCGGGCAGTGGGGCTGGGGCTGGGGTGGGATGTGGGTCCTGGGAGAAAGTGGGTGTCCCAGAGGACCAGGAAGGGGATGACGGACACGTTCCCTGTGCAGGTGGCAGGATTGACCATGGCCACCACAGTGGCCGGGCCAAGCAGGCACTGATGGAGGCTGTCATGCTGGACCGGGCAGTGGCACTCACCTCCCCCTCTGACACTCTGACTGTGGTGACGGCCGATCACTCCCACGTCTTCACCTTTGGGGGCAACACTCTGCGTGGCACCTCCATCTTCGGTGGGTCCCGGGGAGGAGCAGCAAGCATCCCTGTTCCCACCGGAGGCTGAGCGTGCCAAGGCAGGGAGCTGGGGAGAGAAACCCGGCTGGGACAGGGGGTAACAGTGTCTTTCCCTGTGCCAGGGCTGGCCCCCAAGAAAGCCAAGGACAAGCGAGCCTACACCAGCATCCTCTACGGCAATGGGCCTGGCTACAGCATCCGTGACGGGGAACGCCCAGCTGCCAGCCTCCCCGCTGCAGGTAGGAGCCTGCTGGGGATGGGGTGGGGGACACAGGGTGGCTGGGGGGAGGATCCCATTTGCTGCTGGTGCTGCACCACATGGCTCTGGTGTCACTTGGGCAGGAATCGCCCCAACGCCAGGGTGATGGGAGCTGCCCTCTAGTCCCTGCAATGGGTAGGGGAACCTGCTGCCCCCAGCCCCATTTTCCTGCAACCCCCTGCAGAGGACAAGGACTACAGGCAGCAGGCAGCTGTGCCCCTGGAGACAGAGACCCACAGTGGGGAGGACGTGATGGTGCTGGCCCAGGGCCCCATGGCTCACCTCTTCCATGGAGTGCAGGAGCAGCACTACATTGCCCATGCCATGGCCTACGCCGCCTGCCTTGAGCCCTACGCCACCGAGCCCCAGTGCGGGGCAGCCCGCAGGGCCTCCCACGGCACCCAGTGCTCCCCCCAGCCTTTGCTCGCCCTCCTGACCCTCTGCATGGCTGTCTGCCTGGTGGGGGGCTGAAAGTCCCTGGTGAGCCCCACTTCAACCCAGGCTGCCCAGCCCCCCTAAGCCACCCCCATCCGCCCCATCAAGGGGCTTGGCAGCCAGGTCCCCACTCTGGCCAGGATCAAGGGATGCAATAAACCATGGGTTGTTTGTCTCCATCTGCCATGTGAGCATTTGCAGCAGCAGTCGTCTCCTAAGGCACTGCCCCGTGCCTCAGTTTCCCCAGGTGGTTGTGGCTCCTACTGCCCCTGGGACCAGCACTGGAAGCATTGGGGTGGAGGAGGTAATGAAATGAGGGTGAGGGGAAGCCATATTCATCCCCCAGCTTTGCCAGGCTGGGGCACAGTACACAAGGGTTGGTACCTTCCCGGCAAGGACTGGGCAAGGAGCAGAGTTTTAGCCCAGATCAGTGGATTTATTGCTCAAGAAAGTGCTGGGCAGAGAGCAGGGCTGTTCGGTGCATGAGTGACTCCAGATGCACCTGATACCCCTGTTGCCCCAGGTCCGATGCTCAGCACTGCCTGTGGCACCCCAGGCCAGGGCATCCCCTCCACCTGGCATCGCAGCCGGGGCGGGCAACGCTGCCTGCCAGGCACGGCCCATTGCCTCTCTCCCTGCATCTGCACCACCAAGTCCGTCCGTCCCCCAGGAGCAATAAGGTGGTGTGCCAAGGAGGCGCCTGCAGCCCAGCCCCATGGCCTTTGTGCCGGCTGCCCCACAGGACACCAGGGTATCGGAGACGTGCCGAACCACTCCACACCCCCCGTGAGGGCTGATCCTGGTCCAAAGTTCCTCCCCAGATCTGCTAGAAGTGCAGACACTGCCAGCAGTGTTGGGCTACCGGATCTCATCATGCAGCTCCTGGCACCCCTCACCCTCTGCCTGGGCCTCTGGGCAGGGCTCAGCACTGCTGTCATCCCAGGTGGGGACAAGGATGGGGACAGGTGCCCGGCTGGCCCCAGCGGGTGCCCAGGGAAGCGGGGCACCCAGCAGGGCACCAGCCTGGCTGGCCACAGGGAGGGTTTAGGGAGGGGAGGAGGGGCTGCCTGGCTCTGCAAGGGTTAATGGAGGTTACCCCTGATTTTCTGGGGATGTTCAGCCGGTTTTCCCCTGTGGGGTCAGGTTCCTGCTTGCTTCTGGGGTGGGGGCTGGGGGAAGTGCCTGTAACCTCCCCCCTCCATGGATGTGGCTCCATCTCACCTGCCAGATAGCTCCCTCCATCATGTACCTCTTTGCTGCCCCCTCCTTCTCTGCCCCAGGATTCCCGGGCTGGGCGCTGGGTGCTAGCCCACGTGGCCTTTCCCCTTGCCCAGTCCACGTCAAAGAAGGCCCGGGGATGTGGGTGCCCCAGGGATGTGGGTACTGATGAGCTGGGACTGACGAGTGCTGCCCTGTCCCAGCGGAGGAGGAGAAGCCATCTTTCTGGAACAAGCAGGCGGCTGAAGCCATCGAGGCCTCCTTCAAGATCCAGCCCAGGATAAGCCAAGCTAAAAACCTCATCCTCTTCCTCGGGGATGGTGAGTCCTGCTGGCACACCCGGCAGGCAGGCTGGCATCGCTGCTGCCCCATGGAGCTGGGTGCAGGGAGGGCACCCAGTCCAGAGGGTGACCGGGACCCTCTCCTTGCCCAGGATTCGGGATCCCCACCATTACGGCCACCCGCATCCTAAAGGGGCAGGAGCAGGGGAAGCTGGGCCCCGAGACCCCCCTTGCCCTGGATGCTTTCCCCTACGTGGCTCTCTCCAAGGTAAATCCCTGCCACGCTGGGCTTGGGGCCAGGGTGATGCCAGGCATGGGAGCAGGGCGATGCTCGTGGAGCTGCTGGCACAGAAGCACCCTAATGATGCATGTGTGGGGTGCATGGAGTCCCTGCCCACCCCACACTTGCCTTCAGGGATGCGAGTGAGCGTGGCAAGGGATGCTGGGGCGGGGGAACCCCGCCAGGTGCCTCTGCCAGCCGGTCCCTGCTCTAAGCCTGGCCCATGTCCTCGGCAGACGTACAACGTGGACCGGCAGGTCCCTGACAGCGCAGGGAC